TTGCATGTAGACATTAGAGCTAGTGTGAACCACGTTAACTGCAGGGTTGGCCACTCTCAGATTATTTGCGTTGTGTAGTTCAGCCCAGCGTCCAACTACGACCTGCCTTGGTTGACTTTGACTTTGGCAACAACATATAGCAGCGACAATGATAATTATAAGGAAAACCACGGCACATCCTACGATAATTGCTATGATGGTTATGGATAACGGACAATCTCCGCATTGATCATCTCGGCAACAGCCACTTCCACAGTCGTCATCACTGTCGCATGCGATGCCTTCGCAGTCGTCTTTGCACTGGTAATTAAAAGGACCTTTCCCGCAGCAAAACTTCTGGCATTTCAAAGACAAATTTGAAAGATAATAGCATTTTCTTGATTCTATCTGTTGTACAACCACAGTGATTAGAACAAGGGCGCACAAGAAGGTTTTAGACAGCGCCATTTCTTTTTGCACACGAAATTTGACTGTGTATGAAATTTATACTTCGCTGAGAGTGAAATATAACACCTACAGCAGAAATTAAGCACATGTTATGTAAAATACGCGGAACTAAACACTTGGTGGAAAATGTGGGTACCGATTACGGATTTCGGATAAATTTTATTATTGTGATTTATTTGAAATTATTTAGTTCTGTATTTATACTGGGGGAAAGTTTATCGTCAAAGCGGTGCCGTTCAACAAACAGGGATCAGGGCCCTAAAGGCTGCTACAATTGCGTAGAAAAGTGTGACCTATATTAATTATATTACGAGACCGATAAATTCAAAAGCTGTCAAACTGGAGGCCACTATAGATTCGGTACATTATACTCGCGACGTGTGAACTAGGACTCAAACGTTTTGGCATGCTGGGATCCATTGGAAAGTACCATTTGGCCGTCGAAAATACTATTCTATTAAGTGGCAACCATCATTAGCGGTCACACCCACCTTTAAGAAGTCCTAATATTTTCGTCGTGTTTGACTTCTATTAAATGGTCACGTGATTTCTTCCACGCTAAAGTCAATGTACATATCTAACCCATAAACTGCCGATAAACTAGAAATAATAATTAAATTAGATTTATTAAATTATTTAAATTGTTTTTCATGTCTGTTTTTTCTTGTCTGTTTCAGTACGTTCCACATGTAGCAAGTGGGCCGGGAGTTGATATTGATTTTCATCAGTCAATGTACCCTGGTTGTGAGTGCGATGGTGAATGTGATGAAGCAAGCTGTGTATGTATTGTAAGATATGGTCCGAACTTTGATAAACAACGTCGTTTACTGAAGATGGAAAATACTGCAGGTATACTCTTTATAAACTCTGTAATTCCTAACTAGGAATCAAGTTACCAGAGGCCCCCAGCAGAACTGCAAGAAAGGGAGTCTTGTGTGAAATTTATTGCAAAATTTACGCCCAAATATCCAATTATACTCGCAAAATAGAAGATTCGCAAAAATCCGACACCGACCCAGCTGATTTTAACATGAAAATAATATATTATTTTAACAATATCGATCAACATAAGATAGCTGCATCATTCTCTTAGGCTCTCTGGTTTTTCGAAAATTTCTCGCTTTTAAATTATAGTTTTTGGATAAACTACATATCAAATTGTTTCTAACCATTTGCTGATTTCACTTATTTAATTTTGGAGTTGTTTTGCAACGTATTTTTCGAGATATTCTGCGCGAAATTTTGTGCGTTGTAATATGTCTCGCCTCGCCAAGAAGAGTATGTCTACGTTTTCGGAGGCTGATGTTGCCAGTTTTGTGTCGGAATTGCCCAGTACAGATGAGGTTAAAGAACAAGTTTGCCCAACAGAGATGTCTGACCATAAAAACGAGAATGAAAATCATAAAAGCAAAACTCGTGGCGAAACAAACGAGCGAAAATTAAGCGAGCACGTGGTTGATGTTGCTGGCAAAGACGAAGACAACAGGAAACATTCAACATGCGAGGAATGTCAGAACCGCAAAGACAAAATTACCGAGATAAAAGCTATTACAAATGAAATTAAAACTAACCAAAACGAAGATCGGGAAAAATTAATTATTAAAGCGATAGAATCGGATGAAAGGATAAAATCCTTGCACGAGGAAAACTCCAAAATGGCGGAGGAGATTGAATGTCTTAAAGCTACGATATCCGAACTTGTCACTGACAATGAGAATTGAGAACATGAAAAGAGTTTTCGACGTCAAGCAGAATGAATGGCTGAAAATAGCAGAAAACCCAAATCCATCAAACTGTAATAAAACTGCAACAACAACGCCTACAACCACAGTACAAAACCGGTTTGAACTGCTCAATGATGAAAATTGTGAGAGAATATCAACGCCTGAATTAACGTACAATCGAAGTTTGAAAATCGAGAACTCATGCACAACAGAAGGAAAATAAAAACCATGTCCATGCTAGGAAGACCGGAACCAAAAACAAAAAGATTAAAAAAGTCCTGGTAATCGGCGACTCGATGGTGAAACACATCGATCGGGTGAAAATTGAGCGAGCTGCAGGTTGCCAATCAGTCGTCCACTCTTACAGCGGTGCAAGAGTGGAACACATCAGTTCAAAAGTTAAAGAATATTGGTCAGAAGGGGAGCAGTATGATACAGTTCTCCATCATATGTGGGCACCAATAACCTCGCTTTTGAAGAACCAGAAGAAGTGGCACCTAAAATGGATGGCCTTATCAAAGACCTTAAAGATCACGCCAAGAAAATTGCCATCTCAAGTAATTAAAAGGTGTGATAACCGAGTTCCGGCTAGCAAGATAACTCATTTTAATAACTTTGTTAAAAACTTATGCATGAAACATAATACCACTTTTTTAGATAATGACCACATTGACAGGTCGTTACTTAATCGCTCTAATTTGCACTTAAACTAACAAGGTGCTAGGGTGCTAGGGAGCGTTTTCTGCACATATAAGAACTGCTGGTAATATACAAAAACCAACAGGTAATAACAGGCAGTTTTTCACCAAGCTCATGGACATCGGAACAGAGAATGGACAATGTACTTGAAGTATGTGAATCAAATAATGAAGAATTAGATAGTCATAGTTCTGTAAACAATGTCAGTAGCGATTTTTTCACTAGCCTTAATTCCATTCCCAATGAAAGAGGTTTTAAAATGGCTTTTCTTAACATTGTTAGTTTGCCAAAAACGTTGATGAAATAAGGTATTCAATGTCAAACAAATTAATTGATCTTATTGCTTTCAATGAAACTCGCCTTGACTCAAGTATAACTAATGGTATGATTCACCTTAATGATTATGAGATTATTAGAAAAGACAGATCAAGAAATGGAGGTGGAGTTTGTATCTACTTGCGTAGCTCCATCAACTATATTTTTAGACAAGTAGATCTAATTTCCTCTGAATTGGAGGCTGTCTGTGTAGAAATTATTAAGCCACACAGTCGACCATTTCTTGTTACAACCATTTATAGACCACCCAATGCGACTCGTTCCCAGTCGCTCGCGTTGGATCATGGGAATGGGTTAGGTTTTGTCAACGCCTAACCCGCGAATGGGCATATTCTCCCGTACTAAAATATAACGAGGGACTGTGGAAGAGTCAGACCCAATGCATCATCTGAATTCTTTGATCATTTTGAAAAATTAATTAAAGCCATTGATGATGAAAATAAAGAAATGTATATTCTGGGTGATCTAAATTTTTTTCTATTTTTTCTATTATATATTAACGATTTGCCTCAGTGCTTCGATAAAACAAAACCTCGGTTGTTTGCTGACGATACTAACCTGACAGTTTCTAGAGACTCTATTAGTATTGCTGATCTTGAAACTGCAGTGGATTCTGATTTGGAAATCTGAAATGGCTAATTGCCAATAAACGTAAATCTAAATGTAGCTAAGACTGAGTTTATGTTAGTTCGTTCAAAACAAATGATAAAAAGTATTTCAAATTTGCAACTAAATGTGAAAATTGAAAACGAGTCAATTAAACAAGTTTATGAATCCAAAACTCTTAGAGTGACAATTGACCACCATTTATCTTGGAAAACTAACACTGAGAATATTTGCAAGAAAATAACATCCGGAATATCGGCTCTTAGGCTTTTAAAAGAATTTGCTGATGAGCAAACACTTCTTTCTGTATATAATGCTATTGGTCGCCCATATTTTGATTACTGCTGTGAAGTATGGGATGAGTTTGGAGAAACGCAATCAAAAAGACTCCAAAAACTACAAAACAGAGCTGCTCGGATTATCATGAATATGAGCAATGACATAGATCGTTCTGTTGCATTGCAAGCATTGGGTTGGAAGCCACTTAGCAGAAAGGAAGGAAAGTAAAGCAAAAATCATATACAAATTATTGAATAAAATGGTACCCAAATCACTCGCTAATCTCTTCACATATATGGGTGAGGTGACAAACTACAAACTTCGGAACATTTCAAGTTGTCTTTGTTTACCACAACCGCGTACTAATAATATGAAAAAGTTTCGTGTATGACGGAGCGAGCATGCACACGTTTGGAATTCTATTCCATTTTCTTCCTTTCGAAAGAAAATTGCTACTCACATTGATTCATAGCTAACAGAAAACATAGATGTATATTACACAGCAAAAAATCATTTTCTTATTAAGAAAAAAATTTCTTAAATTTAAGAAAAAAATCTTAAAATAAGAAAATAATTTTCTTAGTAAGAAAAAATTTTCTTGAAATAAGAAATTTTTGAATCCCCAATGATAACTGAATCCAGGACATCTGTATCTGCCTACAGCCATGTCTCTGCTTAATAAAATTTAAATAAAACATGTAGTTTAATACTCCCTCTTTCGTCTTCTACCAATATGAACAGGTGATTGGCCGATTATAACATTAAACAATAAACCCTTTGAATTAGATAAGAATGATATTATATTATAAATAATATTAAATTAATTATATTAATGAATTATATTATAAATGAATTATATTATAAATAATAAGTCATAAAATTAAAACTGGTCTATCTTTTCAACATAGACAGATTTTCATATTTTTTACTGGGGTGGTGCCAGAAATTTTAGGGGGGGTGAGCCGTGAGCAGGTGACTGAAGCAACACAAAGTGTCACCATACCCCAGTAAGGTCTATATTCTAGAGGTGGAGCACTAGAGATGTGAGGAGGTGTCTAGAGAGCAGAAAACAAAGTATCCCTGGAAACATTTAAAAAAATCATGATTCCTAGCTTTGAAAAAAGTTTTTTGAAGTGGTCATATCAATGGATTTGGCATGTCCGATTGTCTGATGAGACTTGGGAGAGTTAAAGTTAAATGAACCTGTAAAAATGTAAACCTAATAGGCCAATACACAATATGCTTTTACCCGTTTTATAAAGTCATTGACATTGTGTTGTTTGAATCCGAATACATTTTATGATGCAACTCCAATGTAAATAATAATTGGGGCATAAAGGTTAAATCTACAGTAGGCAAGTCTATTTTTTAAAAGAATTAAAAACTAAAAATAATGTTCGTAAAAAATCCAAATGTTCCTTCCGAGCAAGCTAAGTACTGTATTTGCATGAGAAGGCACTGCAAACTCTATTCAGGGGAGATAATAGAGTTTCAAAACTTTACAATTGCTCCAATAAACCAGTGAATGCACTGTCTTTTTCTATTTGAGTGTACTCCTACGTTTATTTTATATCATCAACACTCTGCATGTTGGAGTGGACTATTTAATTATTTTTATTATGCCAAATGTTGGGGGGTGGGGGGTGTTGAAATAGTTTTTGGAGGGGTGGTCATTTTGTTTGGGGGAGGAGTTATAGCTACAGTAATATTGGGGAGGGGGGGTAGCACCCCCCTCCCCACAAAATCCGTCTATGCTTTTTAATCTAAAGAGTTAACTTAGGTAACTGAGGAGTGACTCAGATTAGCAAGCAAATCTCCAGGTCTATTGTTCTTGCAATTTTGTATATATAGCTAATTAAGGTTGTCCCCAAGCAAAGCAGAAAAGTGGAATACAAGCGCGAAAGGCTGCTGAAAATCGCTAATAAATTCATTTATATTTCTGTATACACCACATATAATACTTAGAGTGATGATTACATTCTCAATATATAAGTAAACTTTTCCTTTTACAGATTACTAGCTGTATAAGGATGTATATATGATGGATCTCCAGTGGCATTTGCATGATGTGTTTGGAACAGTGTTTAAATTAATGTGCATTATAAAGAAATCTATGGACTTTGAACAAACGGTTTGTCAGATAATATTGCTTGTCATGTGGAAAGAGTTGAAAAATTACAGCTTCAGGTCTTCAGGAGAACTTAAATTTGCTACAACACATTGCTGTGCAATCAGAACTACACCTAGTTGTATAACAGTGGCTGGAAAAAGAACTTGTATAAATTGACTATAATTTGATGTTTTGTATGTTACTCTGAGTGTATATCCACACCGGGCAGGCTGAAAAGTTAGCCTGACCATTGTGGGAATCGAACACGCAACCTTTGGGATACTAGTCCAATGCTCTGCTAACTGCATATACACTCAGAGTAACATCAAAAACAATATTCACCTGAGTACCTGTACATATAAACACCCAAACAATACATTCTTAATAAGAAAATTATTTTTAAGAAAAATTTCTTGATTTGAGAAATTATTTTCTTAAAATAAGAAATTATTTTCTTATTTTAAGAACATTTTCTTATTTCAAGAATTTTTTTTCTTGGGAGAATAACAAGAAAATTTTCTTAATAAGAAAATTCTTTTTAAGAAAAATTTCTTGTTTTGGGAAATTATTTTCTTAAAATAAGAAATTATTTTCTTATTTTAAGAAAATTTTCTTATTTCAAGAAAACTTTTTTCTTGGGAGAATAACAAGAAAATTTTCTTATTAGGAAAAAAAATTTCTTGATTTGAGAAAATATTTTCTTAAAATGAGAAAATATTTTCTCAATTTAAGAATTTCTCTCAAGAAAATTTTCTTAATAAGAAAAATTTTCTTAAGAAAATTTTCTTATTAAGAAAATTTTCTTATTAAGAAAATTTTCTTGTTATTCTCCCAAGAAAATATTTTCTTATTTCAAGAAAATTTTCTTAAAACAAGTTGTTTTTTTCTCAAAATAAGAAAATGATTTCTTGCTGTGTACCTGTATATAGATTATTACCTTGGGCCTTTAGCCATAAGGGATAGAGGAACCAACTGTAAACTTATAGAGATTGTTGATATGATGATCTGTTTACTGCGGCGCGCGTTTCTCTTGCCAACACATGTCATAGCTAGGTTGGATAATTTACTAAAATTGACCATGACTTGGAAAGGGTTATAACTTTGCAGGAGCTCTCCAATACGTATAAATACTGAGGAATTTCGATTTAAGATGGTCTTGCCATTATGACAAGAATGGTTTTGTGATAGTTTTATTAATTCATGATATCTAGTCGTACAAAATCTTAAAAAAGATTCATAGTCTTCATTGGCAGTTTTGGTTCTTTTTCAAATATTTCATCTCTTTCCGAGGGGGGATTCTGTTCGCCCCCCACAACATGGCGCTCGTGGCTTCAAAGTAGAGTTTACATGATCTGTTTGACCAATTCGAATAGCTAACGACTTTCTTTTTGTTAAGGGTTTTGTTTACCGATTTTCGAGTGCAACAGCAACTGTCGCTGTCCAACAACCTGCACGAACCGACTATCGCAGCAAGGTATCACGGTCCCGCTTGAAGTTTTCCAGACGCGTAATAGAGGACTGGGGGTAAGAACACTACAGCCAATACCCAAGCATCATTTTATTGCCGAGTACTCTGGGGAAATCATCAGTTATGAAGAAGCGAAGAGACGAACTGCAATAAAGACAAATACCTCAGAATCAAACTACCTGTTGGTTCTTAAGGAACATATATCAGGGGGAAGCGTTCTTAAGACGCACATCGACGCCACTCATTATGGCAATGTAGCGAGGTTTATGAATCATTCATGTGAGCCAAATATGGTTATGTTTCCAGTAAGGCATAACTCTCCCGTTCCAAATCTTTGTTTGTTCGCTTCCCGTAATATCGATAAAAGAGAGGAGCTTACATTTAGTTACGGTGATAAGGACAAGGAAAATTGTCAAGTTGGAAAAAACCCGCGGTTTAGTTTTGAGACCGTAAGAACAAAATGTTTATGCGCTAGCAATGATTGTGCAGGTTATTTACCTTTCGAAGAATGCTTATATGATCATTAACATGTTTATCAGTTATTCGTTTAGGTGATAGCATGGTTTCGAGTGTAATATGAAAAAAAATGCACGAGGATGTTTTGATCATTGATTCGGAAGTATGAATCCAATTTGAAGTATTCAAAAACTCACCTGTGGTTTTTCAAATTGCACGATAATTCATGCTATAAATTCATGCTATAATTCACGCTATAAATGATTAGAATGCTATGACGTTACATGCTATGACATTATGCTATTAATATTTAAAAAGTAAAAACTGAGACGTGCTGCATATTTGAAAGAAAGGCACACATTTCCTGCAAATGGAATAAAAACATGAAGCAATAGGTATAGTTTTGTGTAAATCATAGACCACGTCATATGGCGTATAAATCTATTTCCGTCACGCTTTAAAGCCTCAAATTAAAACGACTCGATACGACCTTTTTCCAACTGACACTCGTCGTTATTTGTCCAGTTGCCAGGAGTGGTTCCACCATGTTATGACTTCATACTGAACAGACAACGGCAAAATCTATACTTTTCGTCATTACTTGGCCCATTGCGTAATAAACAAAATTTTGATCTAGACAAATCTAGACAAAAATATTGCCACCGCTAGAAAAAGCATCACAAAATTAGTAAAATTTCAAAGTTTTGTGGCGAAATGTTGTAAAATGCGGAAAATATAGTCATGCGAATTAAGTTTGGAAATTTTGTATATTTTTGTATTACGCGACCCAAATTGATACCGTACTCTAGGACAGTGTCTCCACGAATCTTGTGTCGTACTCTCGCGAATTTCCTTTATTCTTGTCATCACATATTGCTTCCACTGTTTTTTGTTCTTGATCCAGTATAAAACTGTCATGGAGTCGATCCAATACGCGATTTATACTGAACGGTATTGGAAAGTCTGACAAGAATGTTAACCCTAAGTATAAATTCCAGCCCAGGCACACTTTGTTTTTTAAGTGGCGCGACCCTCGTTTTCGCTGAAACTAAATTGACATCCGCGTCACCATACAGTGTTAAGATCGAAAATACATATGGCAACTGCATAAGCTCTTTCTGAAGCGTCACTGAAACAATGAAGTTGGACTGTCACTGAATCCAAATGATTGTTCTTCTCGACATAGCAACTTAAAGTGGCTCAACAATTTAAATTAACAAGTTCAACACAGACCATACTGAATTCGTAAAAAGGCAAGCGGCGATCAAAAATTATCCTGCGTTCATTCGATCCATCGCAGGAAAAAACACGGACGACTGAAAAACCGGAAGATGGCGGGGACGTAAAAATGAAAACTCGCAAAAGGAAAGAGAAACGCTGGCATACGTTACAATTCGTGCGCAAAGGTTCAAACGGGAAATAGAATTTTGGAGAGAACCCCGCAACACCTCTATTCTCTAGAGTTGAAATGTGACTTCCATGACTCGAAACAACCGTTGAATCCTGACGTTGAATTGTTTCGTCCACGAAGGGGAGCAGCAATCTACAATGACGATTAGTTACGAGCAATAGTCGAGTCTCCTTTAGGACATATAGCAGATATTACAACTATATGAGGGGAGGGTGTCGGAGACTGGGAACGAACAGTGATTTTTTTGTTGAGTTTAGCACATTTTTGTGAGAGTCGAGTGAGATATTTACAGCGAGGCAATTCATATTATTAAAAATTCCTTTTAAACCTTTAATTTGCGAGTAAATTTTAGCGAAGTGATCTAGTTTTTGTTGGGAATCAGTTTTGGAGGCAAATTTTCCTAACATAACGTGTTTATTTTTTTGTTTGATGGTTCATGCCTCATGGTTATAATAAAATGCCAATAAAATTCCAGTTGCGAAATACATTTGAGATCAGTTGTATTTGTTACTTTAGTGCAAGCATGGCTGACAAACTACCAAAACGCCGCGATAAATTAAAAAGCCTTTAGTTTCAATGCGGGTCACAATTCCTAGTCGGGTCACGTTTAGGACGTTTAGCTCACACTTCGTATGCTTACGATATTTTACCAAACAGTCTGGTATCGTCTGGTAATTTGTATTGTCACGCTATTTCACCATACAGCCAGGGGTCGCTAATGATCCACGATTAACAACGTTTTTTACGTTGTGCGTTTTGAACATCAATGATCAGAAATCAATTGCTGCGCATTGTGTTGCCAGTTATGTATCTCGGCCCTTTGTCGCAAGCGCTTTAGAGATCTTTAATACGTCATTGTTTTGATTGACATCTTTATTTAAACACGAAATCCATTTCACAAGTTAAAATATGTGCTCTTCAATGGAGACGTGTCATATGCTAGTGAACTATTTAGTAATAAATAAATATCAAAACATTTGCAAGAGTTACAGTCTACATATGCAAAGAAACTAATATAATACAATTATTAAGAAATTTTAGATTTAAACTCAGCGAGAGAAGGAGCTTTAGCGAGTTTTACGGGTATGTCGTTCCATAGGGTAGCTTCTCTATAAGTAAAGCTTTTCTTTTAAAAGGATTCAGTTAAGGGTCTTGGAACAAAAAGATTACGATTAGAACCTCGCAAATTGTGTTCGTGTATCATAGAAGTTGGAGTAAATTTTCTTGACAAGTAACTAGAAACCATGTTATTAACAGTTTTGTACATAAAAGTTTTAAACTGTTGAGTGCGTCTGGTTTCAAGGTTTGTCCAATTCAATGATGTTAAGATATCTGAGGACCGAATGTTGTAATCTGAATTCAGTAATAATTCTTGCAGCCTTATTCTGTAAACGCTGTAGCTTTTGTCCAAGACTCTTGCCTAAGCTATCCCAAACAATGCTAATCAAAGTGTGGCTGTATTAAAGAGTTGTAAATCAAGACAAGAGTTGACTGTGGAAGTAATGGTTTTAGTCTTCGTAAAACTTCAATCACCTTGGAGACTTTGGACATAAAAGCTGAAAGATGATACTCCCATGTCAAGCTCTCGTCCAGTTCCAAACCTAAACACTTGTAAGTCCGGGTAGGGGTAAAACGCGGAAACGGAACGGACCGGACCAGCGGAACCGGAAAAGCGGAAACGGAAAAAAGGGTAAAACGCGGAAAAGAGGGTAAAACGCGGAAAAGAGGGTAAAACGGGGGAAAAAGGGTAAAACGCGGAAAAGAGGGTAAAACGCGGAAAAGAGGGTAAAACGCGGAAAAGAGGGTAAAACGCGGAAAAAAGGGTAAAACGCGGAAAAATGTTTTAGAATAGTTTTTTCTTTACGAGGTAGGTATGTAGCTTGGTAAAACTATATTTATTTAAAAATTATACACACTAGTCCTTTCAACTATGATTTCCACGAAGGGCGTGTGTTATGTCACAAAAAAGCTACATACATTTACGATATTCTGATACGATTAACAACCCTGATAACTCAAATATTAACCTCAATTAACCTACATAACTACTGGGGTGTATGGGGGGCCCAACTTGCGGAGAGGGGGCCCTGGAATGCTGGAATTGCAGAACGTGGTAAATATTAAGGAATTTTCTGCAAAATTGAAGTAAAAAATGGTATGAATAACAACACTTAAGCCCCCATTATGTAAAACTAGTGTACGTAAACCCCCTCCCTCCCCGCCCATTATGTAATTACCATTATGTAACATTTTGCAGAAATATTTAACGCTAACATTTTCCGGAAAAATGTATTCTATAAAAGCTATAGGTGTATGATTATTAGTCGGTGGGCATATGATGTAAGACGTCATTGGGCGAAGAGCGTTTTGATGTACAAAATTCTTAATGAGCAGTCCGCTCCATGTCTTAGAGAAAAATTTATAAAAATTAAAGATCTTAATAGAGAATATAATCTTCGAAGTAATGATACTGATCTAGCAGTTCTAAAACCTAAAACAAACTATCTTAAACGAAGTTTTAAAGTGGAAGTCAAACGGTTTGTTTACATTTTGAACTGCTGTATTTTTTAAAATATGATGTACTGTCTGAATATCTAACACCATTTTGGTTCGCTATGCTTCTAAATGAATATGAAATAGAGTTTATGTTCAGAAAAATTCGTAACATTCGAAATTTGGGCAATGTTCACATTAGAGGGTCCTCACATTGTTATGAGCAGAACCGATGCGCAGAACGGACTTGACTTCCACTTTAAGTATAGTGGAATAGTCTTCTTTCTGAGGCGAAAAAGGCATCTTTGCTTTACAAAAGTAAACGCAGTATGTCCACTATACCCAGTGGTGCCTAAATTACTTTGAATTTGTACTCGAATAAAAGTAGAAGTAATTACTCTCGATTTCAATTTGCTTTTCAAAACTGACTTCCAATGTTTACTTGTAAATTCGGAATGTTCGTTGTAAAGTTCCGAAGTTTGTTTCGAAGTTTGTTACGATGATTTACGATGATTCAATGGCAAGCGATTTGATTGGCTGGTTCACTTAAGTAGCCAATTACAACTTACTAAACTTGATTATCGCGTAAATCATCGGAAGGAACTTCGAAACAAACTTCGGAACTTTACAACGAACATTTCGAATTTACAAGTAAACATTATTGGAAGTCAGTTTTGAAAAGCAAATTGAAATCGAGAGTAATTGTTTTCTCTCAGTAGTTATATGAGGGGGGTAATGGGGTATTTTCGTGCTGCGTATTGGGGTAATTTAATTATTCGTTCTTCGTTCAGTCATCTTTTTATTAAACGTTTTTCGATCCCAACATGGATTCCGTGTATCGTGCTTGCGGTGTATTCAATATCCGTTCTCCGTTTTCAGCTGTATTAAAGACGGTTATTTCTCGTTTCTGGACAATATATTCCATTAATTTTGTTTCTGGATTTTAGCTATGTTTTGATTGGGGAACGCAGGTTTCAAATTTTATAAATCACGAACATCTACGCAATTGTAAACAAATAGGTGAACACACCGCCCAGTACAGACTGTTTATATTCACCTTTAAGACCTCTAAGTATGGTTGTTGCTTACATTTCATGTTTCCTTTACATTTCAGATTCGTAATAAATTTGTTATTTTACGTGCTTCAGGACTTCCTTCTTTTATTTTTCATGTTTCAAGATCGCTGCATATTATTTCTCGTGCTTCAGGATTGGTACCCCATTACCCTCTCTTTTAATGATGCAACGTGTAGTGCTTATTTTTCATAACTTATCTTATACAGCTATTTGGATGATGGAATAATCATATTAGGGGAACTCCAGTCCAAATACAAGTGTGGTTTATATGAAAGATCTTCCCCTTATTAGAATGTTCCTCAAGTATTTCGGTCTAAATATTAATAGTAAAGGAGAAATTGCTTGTCAAAGTTTGCGATTTTGTCAAATTTGGGCGCCATGTTGTTCTTTTCACTGCAGACTCGGATTTGTCCAGCGCCCTCATTTTTGACGTCATTGCGTGCTTCGAAGGTGTTGTTCATATACAAAACTATGGCTTTGTATGGCGATTTAATAAGAATATCGATTATTTCTCTGCTTCTAATTCTTTAATTAATGTGAGTTTAGACCGATTTAACAGAGATATTTTACAGACGGAGATATTTTACATTGCCGAGCTTCTGGCTAAGGTCAATCAAGAGTTGCCAGGTCATGTTCATGTTGGTGTACGGAAAGCTTGCGCAGAATTAAATAATTATATGTTGCGGTTGTTGCCCTGTGTGGATCTGGCTCTTGTTGGACTCTCGGATCCAATTTGCCTGAATATCGATGCTGCGTTTGCGTTCAGCAACGATTTATCGGTTGATGAGACTTCAGTTTAGACTGTTTGCTCATGTATGCGAGCAATAAGATTAATTGCGGTTTAGTATCAGGTATTTCACTGAAAGTCACAGATATACAGTAGTCGTGGCCATGGATTTATATCAATTTTAATCGAAGAGAGGTGAGAGAGAAGAGAGTCGTCACTCGTATGAATGAATGCATGGGTATCTTTTACTGCTAACATGTCTTTAATCATTTGTTTAAGTTTGCGAATTGAATCAGCCTGTCCTTGAGTTAGGGCTTGAAGCAGACTGCTACAAGCAGTTTCAGTCGCTGAAAACATTTTGTTATTTATTGTGCAATTACGGTAAATAGACGTCTTACTTTTAGCGATTCTTTGACTTGCGAGTTTGCGTCAAGGCATTTGCATATATGAAATGAATCTAGACATCAATAATATAAAATAATGTTACCTAGATAATTCTGAGGGCAGACTACATGCTGGGCTACTATCATG